GGGGGCGGCAGTGTCACGACCCTGGCGGCCCGTGGGACCGCTTCCCGGCTCGCCTCTTCCCGGTGGCCGTGGCAGAGGCGCTTTGTGCGCGCGGCGACGGGGGCGGCGATGTCCGGGTGCGCGCCACCGGCGCCCGCGCGCTCCTCGGGCTATGCGGCGTGTCCACTGGGACGCCGTCTTCTCCGAACATGACGCGCGCAAACAGGAGACGTATGTAGTCAAAAGCCAGACCAGATACAGTTTTGTTAAACTTCTGTGGTCAAAACCATGGCGACTAACGACCGGAAATGGGAGCGTCGTGTGGGTCTGGAAATGTTCCACATGTAAGTCTTGAAGTCTGTCGTTCTGCCCGCCTCTTTAAACTGATCAGCAGTGGCGGCAATCAACAAAAATTATTCGCGGAATCCAACAGTAATTTCGAACTCTTTTAGGTCGTGCTTTACATGCATCACCACACGAGTAATATCAAAACCCAAAACCACCGGTGAGCTCAGGACCCTCAAAAACATACAAAATGACACCACTATGTTAATGCCTGGCATCTGAAGCCGATACTACCACTAAAGCCTTTGTGCTTCGGAGGCTGCAGCCCGCCTTTTGTACAGAAGCGCATCCCGCGGCGGGATAGCGGGTTAAGTGCGCGAACAGCCTCTGGAGAGCGCGGGCGCCTCGCCGGCCGACAGAGCTCGGCCCCACTCGGCCACCGCCATCTCGACCGAGCTGCCGCCAGCCGCCCGGGTCAGCCTCGACCACCCGGATATCCGCCGGGCCGCCAGGGACGCGTCGCGCCAGGGACCCGCCGCGCCCGCCGCCGCCACACGAGCCGTGCGAAACCGAACCGGAGCGGACTCGTCGGAGCCGAACGGGGTGCAGCCGTGCCGAAAGGGGAGCGCGGCGCGGCGCGTGAGGCGTGGTCGACCGTTCGGAAGGACACCGTGGAGAGAAAAGTTGAAAGCTCTGGGCATAAGCGGTGGTGCTGTGATGGCGGCTATGACGACGAATATGCATGATAATGGTGACGATGGTGGTGGTGATAGTGCTGATAACAGCAACGGAGATAATTTTGAGAACTAATGCAGACCGTTAGGGCTTTACACGCCACCAATGTTTTTAGTGACCTAATTGGTACCAAATCCAAATTGTCCGTAAAAAGTGGATAAGCAGCAGCAGGACCGCGGTTCGAAGTCAGGGCTATCAAAACAGCCGGAGCTTTTTGGTCCCGGAAGCGTTTCTGTTCCATGATCATGCACCTATTGGTCATCTTTAATTTACAGTACTTAATGGTTTTGTTCCATGGGGCCAAATACAGAAGCGTGAAATGATGATTTGGTACACGATAACGAAGCAAAAACACCTCCGGAGTAACGCTTATCGACTAATTTCATGAGCCTAACGATAAGCGACGGGTGTCGCCCCTGTTCGTCCCATTTCATGTGCATTTCAAATGTTTTGCCTGTGGAATGCGTCAGCGTCGAATTAGGTGCGAATTTGATAAACGCTCTACTAGAGGGAAAATACATATTGTGTCTTTTCACAGTCACTCAGATGCGTTTTTCCGCCTAAACTTCAATTTGTGCGAAGCGACTGCACCGAACGGAAATGCAGATGGCTGGCTGGCTCGTGTTGTTATGACGAAATTTCTCCAGCGTTGGAGACTTTTCCCGCACAAAAATCTAGAGCGAGACTAGGCGCTCTAGATCAGATGAAGGGCATCAATAGATCACACGTTACCTGGCGTGATCAGCCGACGCCGCACCCTCTGTATTCATTGGGGCTACCCACGAAACCTTCTTTTAAAGTTTAAGACGCCTGTTGTGTAATCCGTTGCGCCCATGGCCAGACGCTTGGGATGAATTCCCAACGATCTCTGGCACGATTGGGTGGGTGCGCAGAAGTCAGTCGGTTTAGCACCAGGGCCACTAGCGCCCCCATGCACTGGCCCTTTTTAAACTAAACTTCAGCTGAACTGAAGTATTAGCTCTGAATACTGAAGTGAAGTATTAGCTCGATTGACATAATGAATCTTATAATCTGGAGTGGCGTAGCATTAGCGTGTCACTCGTATTCGGTCCATCCATCTTTGCGTTTTGACCTCTTCCCTAATACTATGGATCAAGACACCCTTAAATATGAGTAGCATCGTTGCATATATATATATATATATATATATATATATATATATATATACATGTATATATATATATATATATATATATATATATCATATATAAGTCCCCCGCCAGGTAACACATTGAAGAATGTTGTGGGGCGGGCGCAGCCCGAAATAAATCACCCTGAGGCATCTCAAATGATGATTTGTTCGGCTTGGAGCCTTATCAAGCCTTTCCGGCTTGCAGCTGATTAAATTAAGATTGCTGTTTAAAAAAATTGATGTCTGTTCATTTCATAACCGAACTTTTAATATTTAATGGCTCCGCCACGAAAAGGAAGCTGGAAATATGTTTTGGTTGTCCGCTGAAGGAAACAGGAAAAAGTCTTGGTCTAAAGCCATTGTCGGCGATTATTTCTCTTCTGCTTAATTCTGTGAGTTTTCATGGGTACATATTTCTGGGTATATTGTGGTCCCGAAAATGTCAAATAGGTGGGCAAGGCTTAAAAGATTCTTCAGGTAAAATTGCTGAGACATTAAGGGGACGTTTGGTGTATCACTTCCGGCGCAAGTTGACAAAAAGCAGTTTACGTGGTTATGGCCGCAAGTGCCCGCAGGAGAAAAGGACCCGGTTGCGTCCTGCTTCTTGGTGTTCCCTTTGAGCTGTGTTAGGCCTTGTGGGTCAAATGATTTAAAACGAACGTCCCACATTTGAAGATCCTGTTCAAGCAAGCGTCAGATATGATGAAATAAGCTCACTTGTAACTGTCGGTATAGTTATTGTGAAAAGATTGTTCTAAACGGAAAGATTTCTCTTTTTAGTAAATATGCTCCCCAATAAGTCATTGTTTGCCATTGTACATTGCACAACATAGACTGGCAGCTGAATGGCTTCAGTTACATGTGAAAATCGTGTTCACGAACGCCAGGTATGAACGACCCGTCAATAATGCTTTGTTGGTCTCGATCGCCGCATGGCAAATGAAATGGCAGGACTCAAATGACACTATTATAGCGTCATGGATACCTGCGTTGCCTTGAAACAGTCTGCGCAAAATAGTCTACGTCTTCTCGGGCGTGTAGCTCAGAAACTAGAGGGGCTTAGATCTTACGAAGGTATGGCTGTGAACTGCGCCGAATCATCTTCAAGATGACTATTTCAGTTCAAAACCTCGTCCGAAGATGAAACAGTCCCTTCATTTGCGTGCCAACAGTCTGCCATCGTGTTGCGCCATTTTTACATTGACAACACAATAATGCAGCAATGTAATTATACCACAAAAATAATAATGATGAGCGCACTTTGATCCACCGCGCTGAGCTGATCAGCGAATAACGTATCACGAACCTTCGCACCGAAAATATTTGATGTTTCCATCGGCGACCAACGTAAACACCTGTCTTGCGAGCTTTGATTCCTGATGACGCCCATTGGCCAACAGCGTACTGCAAAACAAATGTTTTCAGTGAAGGCCCATCAGAAAAAGAAAATACTGCTGATATGAATACTACTGATAACTTCCGGCAGCAGTTTCGAATGTTTTAGCTGTAAGGATTTTCAATACTCTGCAAGTTAATCAGGTTCGCTTTTTGAATTCACGGAAGGCTGGTTTATTTTCATCACAACTATTGTAATTGAGATTGTTAATTTTGAGCGATATCGGACGGTGTGGTGGGGCAGCTAGTGTAGAACATTCGAAACAGATGGTTGCAATCTCTTGCTCATTATGCATCAAGAACACCCATGTGATAGCACAACCTTTTTGGCTGCCTTACTACGGGATTTCCAACCGAACAACTGGGCGAACTGCGCACTTCCTAGGGTTGCGTCATCGGCTGCACTGCAGTCAGCTGTCCGCTCTCTAACGCGGAGCACGTGGGCGAGAGAGAGAGAGAGAGAGAGAGAGAGAGAGAGAGAGAGAGAGAGAGAGAGAGAGAGAGAGAGAGAGAGAGAGAGAGAGAGAGAGAGAGAGAGAGAGAGAGAGAGAGAGAGAGAGAGAGAGAGAGAGATCCCAAATGCGATCATTGAAGAGATCGTCAAAGACTCGACAACATCCTGTGATCTGATCTCGGGTGTAAGAGCTATATCCTGGCTTTCTGCTTATATTCCTGTCCATATCCGTATTACTTCCAGGTCTATGAGCAGTATGGCGCCGTAGGGTCCCAGCCACTCAAAACACTGAGTAGTCTAAAAAACAATATAAATTTCAAAACACATTGATTTTTCCGTCAGGCCCTCGCAAGCCGTCACTAGCCAAAGCGCGGCTGTCCTCCATGCTGCGGCTGTCTAGACCGTGACCTCAGGTCAGGACAACATTTTTGCTGGGTCATGACCTCAGTTCAAGTCATCATTGTCGTCTGGCACGCCTCTCTGTCTGCAGTCCACTGTCGTCTTCCGAGTGCTCCTCGCTTTCTACCGAGTCAGAGCTCGAGCAGAGGACCTGGATGCCGCGGCCGGACGTCCTCACGTCGCGAGACGCGCCGCCTCAGCTGCCAGGCCCACCTCTCCGGTCAGGCTGCCTTCACTATGTTGCGGCCGTCTAGGCCGTGACCTCATGTCAAGACAAGACAGAACACTTGAATGTGCTCCAGAGCACCTCAGTCGTCGTTAAAGCTGTAGCTACCAAGCGAGTTAGTTCGCGGTCTTCACAGGTGACCTTCTCTGTTTGAGCTGCGGTCGGTTCAGTTGCCTCCCCCCCCCCCCCTCGGTCAGTACGGCCGGGCCAGGCCGGGGCTCGCCGCCACACCCGGGCCTCCGGGAAAGGCGCCGCCGGCCCTCAGCCGAGCCCGGCTTGCCGTCTGCGCCGCCCGGCCCTGAACAGCCTTCACGGCCGGTGGCGCCGGCTGGAAGGCCAGGCGCGGCTGGGTGGCGGCCGCCCGGCCTCTCCTGTCACGGCCCGCCAGGGGCGGTCAGCACTGATGTCGTTCGTCATCAGCGCTGATGCTGGCCCTCGTCAGCGCTGATGCCGGTGCTCGTGTCGCTGCACTCAGCGTCCGGCGAGTCCTGCCGGCGTCGCTCCGGCTCGGTGGTGGCCAGGGACGCTTCCGATCCCAGCTCCGCTGACGAGCACGAGTCCAGCGAACCACCGCACGAGCCGGACCAGACGGCGCCCGTCGGTGGTGCCACCTCGCGGGCCGACTGTGACGTCACCTTTAGGAGCGCCAGCATGACCGATTCCACCTGCTTGAGCTGCAACGGATAAGTTCGGCTCAATAAACACAGTTTTTAAAGGGTATGTCATAAAGCCGTTATGCTATGCCAAGAGATCATTTCTACGAAACTAAGGTATCGAATGATTCGTAGATTTTGATGATAACAACACTTGATATGGTTGTATTATGGAGGATATGTGTACATATTTCACCAACTTCTCCCTTTGCATAATCCACCACCAGCTGAATGGGGAGGGGGAGGGTATTGCGAGGTTTCCCTCCTCTGAACGGGAGGATAGTTTTACCCATACCTCAGACATTTCAGAATACCAGTAAGTGAATGGTTCCAGTCCCCTGTTGAGACATAGGTTAAAGAGCCGCCAGCCGCCACCAGCTGAGCCTGCCTACGGGCCAGTCCGGTCGCTCCGAGAACGATGCCGGGTCGACACCCCACCTGCAGGCTCTGGTTCAACTTGGCCCAGGTAGAGTATTGGTCGTGCCGCTCCAGCCGCTGCTGGATCTCCCGCATGCACGCTGACGCCTCTAGCAGGGAGTCCTCCAGCTGCGGCAGGCGATAGGGCCAATGGTCAGACAGGGCACCGCCTGCCCCCACCCCCGACCTAAATCCCTTGACCTGTGGCATCATACACTTCTCAGGCAAAATATATGATGACGCTGAGCAGTCTGACCGCGTGATCCGGCTATCGGGAGCGACACGTCCGATCTCGAGAGCGTGTCAGGTGCTCTTCAGCGACCTCTGACCTCGACGCGCCGCGTCCGCTCCTGCTGCAGCTCGACCTCCCTCTGGCGGCGGCCACGTTCGCTGGCCTCGGCTCGCGTCTGCCATCTGGCGGCCAGCGCCTGAAGCTCCTTTTTGCACCGCTCGATGCTTCCCAGCTCCTGTTGAGTTGGTGCGTGGGATGAACGGCCAGAGCAAGAGCAGGTGCGAATGAGAGACGGCGTCACCATTCCAGACACTCCGTGAGTGACCCCAGGTCAGGTCAGATCAGATCAGGTCAGGTCAGGTCATGTCACGTCTGGTCCGGTCAGCTCCGGTCAGCTCCGGTTAGGTCAGGTTGGGTCAAGTCACGTCTGGTCCGGTCAGCTCCGGTCAGCTCCGGTCAGGTCAGGTCGGGTCTGGTCACGTCTGGTCTGCACCACCAGGTACGCTAGGTCTGCACTGTCTCAGCAGCTCGTGAGCCGGCTGTCGCTGTCAGCGGCGCTGAGGACGGCAGCGACTGCCGCCTTCACGGCCGGTACGTATCCGACCCGATGACGCAAGGTAGCCACTCAGTCAGTCAGGAATGAGGACACTGCATCGCAAAACGCACAGACGTGAAGTGGCGTTTTTTAAAAAACAGTTTGGAGATTTCCAGTAGCGTCTTTCACAGATTTTTAACAAAAAAACCGTTGTAAGATCTTGTGATTAGTGCTTGAAATAAGCAAAGAAGTGGCCAGTAACATTTAAACCCATGCCAGTAGCAGTCGTTCAGCCAGCACCTCCTGATACACTGAAGGGCCGATAACTGAGCACAATACAGCTGATTGTACAAGTCGCCAATACTGGTCTGCTAGCTGGTAAGGGTCGGGAGGTGAGCGCCAAGCGGCCTGTCTGGCCTGTGCATGTGGCAGGCCGAGCCTGAGTGCCACAGAATGACATGACCCCACGTGCAGCCTGCTGTCCGAGGAAGAGATCAGCCGGAGGTCGGCCTCGCGCCGCTGGTCCTGCATCGCCTCCAGCGCCACGCGCAGCTCGGCGCGCAGCACGTGCACCGTGCGCGACGTCTCGTCCAGCTGCTGCGTCAACCGGCCCACCTCCTCCGAGCCGTCCTGCACGAGGCGGCGCAGCCGGGTAGACTCGTCGGGCTCCTCCCCTGAGAGGGAGGGCTGGTGTCAGGTGGACTGGCTCGTCCTGCTCGTCCTCTGGGAGGGAGGGAGGTGTCAGGTGGGCTCGTTCAGCTACTCTACGATACATGGGACAGTGGTACTCTTAAAATGACCGCTGCTGTATACGTAAAAACACGACCCTCGGAGACTATTGCACATCAGCATGTTGGCAATCATGGTGATGCTTAGCGGATGAAGGTTTCCGTTGGGTGAAATCATATGACCCTTGACGGGAATGACGCCCAGGGACATCCGGAGTTCGCGAATGCTTGGCATCGGTCTCTGATACCCCACCGATGATCATGAAACGACCACGCCACGCGTCAGAATGAGAACAATGTTCTGCAGCAGCCCAAAGAAAACGACATCGACCCCGCCAAACGGCCGAGGAGCGGTGATGTGGGGAGGAGCCGGCCACCGACCGTCGCTCTTGCCGACGCGCGCCGAGCGGGCTGCAGCCCGCCGCCAGTCGCCAGCAGAGCGGTGCGGCGTCGGCTCCGACGCGTCGAGCGACGGTGGCGACGGCGCGGCGCCCTCGTCCAGCCGCAGCCGCAGGCGGTCCCGCTCTACCTGCGGGCGTCGGAGGCGCGGCTGTCACACGTCACCAGCCGAAGCAGCCGGTCACGAGCGACCATGCTCACAACCATCCGCCTGCAGTCACGAGGGATCCCAGCAAATACCTCTTGCTCTGCGATGGCGTGCTTGGCATGCAGCAGCTGTGTATTGAGACCGTTCAGTTGAGACCTTCGCAGCGTGAGTTCTTCGTGCAGGGCGGCGACGGTGTCGCTCTGTGCCTCCCCTTTTTCCGCCATTTGTCGTGCGGCCCCTTTCAGCCTCCCCCGGATGTCGTCCCTAAAGTCACCCCTGGCAAGACGAGGGCGCTGGTTATGGAAGGCACAGCGTCGCTCCACAAAGCCTCGTCGCCACACGATTCATTTAAAGGACCACTGTGGTGCACTTCTTGAGCTGCTACGATGCGCAGTGCGCACTATCATATCGCTAAATACACTGTGTCATGGTCACCCACGACGCCCCGCCAGTGACCCCATCTGACACCTGCTGTCTCGGTTCAGGAGCATCGGCGTCCCCTTTCAATCGGTTAGCATGGTTTTATCCACGAAACTCTGGCTGTCGACATGCTCTGAAAGCTATCCACCACTCCTGGAGTCCTGGAGTGGTGAAAGCTCTCCACCACACCTGGTGGCATCAGTGGGATGCAAACAATGCCTCCGGGGAGCGCGATGACATATATTGATGGCAAAAATTCAGCGCACGCGTGCATGACGAATGTGCATAACGAATATGGCAAACATGAGGCTGATTAATAACCATAACAAGTGGTTTGTGTTCGCCGCGCTTATGCCGACGGAGTGGAAATGCTGCGTATTTGGGGGAAGGCCTCATCCGTGAATAAATGCTTCTGCTTCGCGCATGCACACCACTGCTGGTCATGGAAATGCACATGGTAATGACACGCCCTCCGCCTTATTATGCTTTAACTTGGTATCAATTCACCATTTCTAAGGCTCAGGTAAACATGGAGAGAAATTGCGCATGGAGGACACAACAGAAAATAAGTGTTGAATGGGACTAAATTACTCGGAAAAAACACGTGAAATGTAACTTGCACCGTTCGCTTTCGTGTTCACACCGCACTCCCAGTAGTCTTGTAGCTAGCGCCTTCTGCCCTGTGATTTATGCGCTTGTAAACGCTCACTCGCACACACTTTGAGGGCAACCGCATGATTTGGACCATGCTACTCACCTGAAAAGTTTGGCAGCAATTCCGATAAAAAACCACAGTCCTTCGCGTACAAAAGACCGCACGAGAGCTTTCACGTAACTCCACCAGAACAAGCTGTGGCTTAGTACGGCCATTTGGGTGCGGTGGGTTTGCTCAGCTCCGGGTATTCTATGACGTTCGTTTCGTTTCGGAACACTTTGAATGATACTATGCGCACAAACGATAAGGAATGGTAAGTTTCAGCCTTTCCAAACTAGGTACCTTTGCCCTCCCATCGGATCCCATCCCCAATTATACGAACCTGTGTCTGCAAGGTGTGCCTGCCCTTTTAAAACTTTAAATTCTTGACACCGAGTTGAGAAGCAGACATATGCACTTACAATCCTCCACATTGGAGGGTCAGCTATATCACACACTGAAATAACATTTCCGTGTACTGAACAGAATATTCAGTTTGTGAACCATTCGAACATAAACCCAAGTCGTCCGTGTTCTTAACCCATATACTATGCCCAAAGCGCTCGGGAACCGCCATTGTTCTCTGGGGGTGTTGGTGATGATGAAAAGGGGCTATTTGCCTGAGTAGTAGTCATGGCTTGATATCTCTCAGTTCATGGTAACGGAAACGGTAACATGGTTTTCTCAGTCGAAGGTTAGCGCATCTGTGGGTGGGACAGCCTTAAGGTGGCGGAGTAATCTGTAGACGGCAGGCTCAGTTCGACTACGCCGTGGCATTTGTTTCACGTTATCTCTATCTATCTATCTATCTATCTATCTATCTATCTATCTATCTATCTATCTATCTATCTATCTATCTATCTATCTATCTATCTATCTATCTATCTATCTATCTATCTATCATCTACTATCTATATCTATATCTATATCTATGATTATCTAGCTATAGTACTATTTATATAACTATAGAATATATATATATCATATATATAAGATATATATATAGATAGTCTATTTCTATCATATATATAGTCTATCTATCTATTATCTATATATCTAGCTATCATATATATTATCTATTCTCTCTCTCTATCTATCTCCTCTCATATCTTCTCCTCTCTATATCATCTCTATCTCTATATCTCTAGTCTCTATATCATCTCTATATCTTATATATCTCTCCTATCTCTCTCTCTATCTCTCTCTCTCTCTCTGTGTGTGTGTGTGTGGTGTGTGTGTGTGTGTGTGTGTGTGTGTGTTGTGTGTGGTGTGTGTGTGTGTGTGTGTGTGTGTGTGTGTGTGTGTGTGTGTGTGTGTGTGTGTGTGTGTGTGTGTGTGTGTGTGTGTGTGTGTGTGTGTGTGTGTGTATATGTGTGTATGTGTGCATCTATCGGTCTATCAGTCGATCAATCTGCCTGTCTATTTTCTGCCAAATTGTCCGCTTGTCTATATTTCCATCTTTAATTGCTCTGGCTGCCGGAATCAAACTTAATCATCGAAAACTCCCCTCCCTGGGGAATACAAAGTCTGCTATGATGGTTGTTAAGGCGCCATGATCTTCGTAAAAGCGGCTCAAATTTTAGGACGTAGTTCGATGCATGCTCTACGAGGCGGCCGCATTCCATGCTGTTGTTTGGTGTATATTTCAAATGCTGTTTGGTCTATTGGAGAACTTGATCTAACACTTAGAAACTAAACTGTGACATCCGTAACCAATAGTCAGTCGCAGAATATATATTCTGCGTGGCCTCGTACACGAAAAGCTTTTAGTGAAATTTCACCGTTTAAATTCGATGCGTTTTGAGATACCAGCGAGGAAAAATTAGATCAGGCGTGAAAATCAGATCGAGATCTTAAGATAAACTTATCCCGATTGTATAGAGTGAAGGTCGTTTTAGTATCTGCACGGCCTAAAGCTGCAGACATTCATAATTTGTATCTTTAATCGGTTTAGAGTAGCAAAGAACTCGATCTCACATGGAGGTCAAACCGTATATGGATCTAGCATACATTATGCTCGTTTTAGGCTTTATGTGTTGGGTTGTTTACAACGATCTACAGTTTTTATTCTCGGTGCCTTTTTGTACCGATCATTTTCGTTTGTTTCATATTGACGTGTAGTCTGGGCCGATCCTGAGGTCAAACCGTGAGTGTGACACAAAAGTAGCCGAGTCACGTATAATTAAGCATTGTGAGTTTTAAACAGTTAACTAGTTGCAGCTTGCAAGACTCCACAATTTGCAACCTTGCACTTGCCATGTTTTTTTTTGCGCCGCGGATAAACTCCCCTGAGGTGTAGGAGGTCAAGCCGTGACCCAAGAGGAAACCATGCGGACTGTTGAGAGCAGCTTGCTGTACCTTCACTATATTGATCAGCTGGTCGCACCATTTTCCAATTCTTATCACTTTCAAAAAAGGTTTGATTACTTCAGTGCTGCATTGAGAGAGAGTGCAGCGGCTGTCTGTCTCACCCAACTAACATATTTTAGAGGGGAATTGATACGCACGTGAATAAATGTCGACCGTTACACGCGCGGGTGTCAATGCACCTGTTGGATATTCTTCGCGCGGGTGGAGACCAACTTGACCCCCCCAGACCTTAAAAACTGAAAAAGCTAGAGAGATCGAATTAATAGGGTGGGTTGGCCCAGGGATGGAACTTTGCATCCTTTTAGCGGCCGGCGGGGGGAACGAGGAGCCTTTGATGGTCCCGAGGAGCTCTTTGAACCACGAGGGAACAGCGATCAAAGGTCCGATCGGAGGGTCCGAAGGGCAGGCCGAGGATGAAGGGACCTCTGTTAGAAGGTAATACTGAACACTCGGTCCCGCGCCGGTCTCAGCCCTGGGACCTCTTTCCCAAGGCAGGGCTGGGCTGGGCCTGCAAATGTTAATCCGAAAGATTGTGCATTGGTCGGGCCCGCGTGCTAATCAGGGGCTCACAGTGACAAACGAGGGGCCCCGTGTCGGCAATAAGCCCCAACTCGGCCATGGGCACAACTACCGAACAGGGACAGGACCGGAACCTCGAATGTCAAAATGCTTATTACGTTGGTCAGGAGTTAGTCCGGACTCTCTTGACAATGGCAAAAGACATGAGAAATGATGATGCAATGGTTTGCACTCACAATGAGACAGTGAACTCTGCCAGCCAGTCGCGTTACCAAACAAAGGGCCCTCCGCGCCGTTTCAACCAGGAGACGAGAGTCCGTTAAGCCGGGTTGGTGTCTCGGCGCCATTAAGGCGTTGGTCTCCTTGTACCGGTACGCGATCATTTTGCGTCAGTGACGTGGACCTGCATCATTTTGTGGCAGATGCCCAGGTCAGAGTCTGTCTGTCAGTCCCATGTCTGTCAGTCAGAGTCTGTCATCGGTCCCATGTCTGATGCCTGCCGCATCAGACAGTGGGACCGATGCACGATGCATCCCTTTGAGGGCTTCCAGATCGACCAGGACACCCTGTTCCTCGTATCGCCAGAATAGCAGTTGCTAGGTACCCCGGACTGGAATGGAAGGGCCTTTCAGCTCCTGACCAGGAAAATACGCCTGTACGAGTTCAAGAAAGATTTCCTGCACGGAGCTGGCAGTCACAGCATCAGAAGCGGT